TATCAAAAACATTTATCTATCAAGTTTTAACGACAAATGTATGGGAAAACCAATATGATGTGTGAAATATGGCTAATTGATGCGTAGACCGGCGTGGATATTATTTTAAAAAAAACTAAAAAACGTAAAAAGCGACAAAATGTTATCTTACAGACCAGGTAGTTTTTAGGGTGCAAATAGTTAGTTTCACGTTTGCTCGCTATGATCACTGTGACTTTATTGGAAGTTCAATAACTCCCTATTATTAGCACACAAATCATCATTATGCACTGCCATTTCATTCCAGCTATGGTATACAACTTACAGCTTGGATCTCCAATAGTAATGCCATCTCTGAAGCATATCTTACATCACATCAGAGCTAAACACTGATAACTGAAGCCTCATGACGTTTAGGCAACACGAACAACGACAAAACGAGTTCACAACAAGTGTCCATCAGCTAGTGCTAAGTCAGCAAAAAACCTACATTAAGTCTAAAAATACCTACGTTATGCCAAAAAACAGACTTTTTAAGATACGTAATACCCGAGCGGGGCTGGGAGTGTATAAATAAAATAATATACAAAAATTGAGATATACCTTCCCCCACCTCCAATCTTCAAAAATGATCAGGATCCTCTGCAAGGTCAAAAAACGAAATTTGGGCGATTTATTTTGTTTTCTTCTTAGCCTTCTACACCGCCCCTGGACCGAAGTTATAGACGGGCCAAGGATAAGAGAACAGACAGACAGACCGACACACTAACCGACAGACTGATAAACCGATAGACAAGACGACAGACCAACGAAAAAACATAGTATCTCATTTTTCGAAATTACCATACCTCCTTCCTTCTGTCCAGTGGTGTAGAAAGTCAAAAAGTTCAGCACGGGATGTTTTAACCGTCAGGCTAGTTTCAAGGTACTAAGTACTAACTTTAATATTGTGCAAAATTTCGTCAAAATCCGTTAAATATTGCCTAGTGATAATAAATATTTGGGGTATCCGATACCTGAAAAATGAATTTAGAATTTTTTCAGATATTAAAAGGTCTCTAGGATCCATACTGTACCTAGCACCTACCACTTTACCATGTGCACCTCCTCAATATCATCGGTACGCATCAGTGGTTACTACATTTCCGTGTCCCAATCCCAATGGAACACCCAGTATTTGAAAAATCACTTCATTTTGTTTTGACATCTGTAGGAAGTGCATAGGTATCATAAAGGATGTTTTCGCGAGTCCTCGGTGTGGTCATAGATTATACAGATGCGACACCTGCTATCGGTTCCTTTGATCATCCTGTCCCCCAACTGCTTACCACATTTCCCGCTTATGTTCAATTCCGCCCCGAGGATTTTTTCCTAGGGGGTTGATACGCGTTAGTAGCAAGACGTTACGAATGTCATATGTCAAACAACATAATCAAGAAATTTATTTGTGCTCATTTACCCACATGCATTTTGGCGAGATAACAATTATTATTTCTTGAAAAGCTATTTATATATTTAGGTATATACAGGGTGACTTTGAAGTTGAGTCATTAATTTTCAGATAATGATTGTAGAAGGAAGATAAACCAGAATATGTGTGTAAAAATAAAAAAAAATTAAAAAAAAAATTTTACCTTGTTTTATAAAGTATCCTCCCGACAAGTATTTCAGTGCGGACCTGTATTTGATCGTGAGGTCCCCTGTGAGGTCTTAAGTCACCTGATTCACGAGCCCGTTGTACTACATTAACAAAGGCACGAGGGGTTGGTTGCACTCGATTGGGAAACCGATCCGCATAAACATGTGCCATTTTTTATTTCGTTTGAGCCACGCAACAGACACTATTCACACGCTAACCGACAGACACTAACTGGATGTATAACTGAACAGAATAAAATACTTAATTACAAAAACATCGTTCCAAATTCTTTCGCTTTTTTGTTTCCGATGCGATGAACCGGTAAGGCGGATTATATCCGTTGTTGCCAAACACGAGTACATGATATTATTATTGAGACAGGGCGGTACTCAAACTTCCAAAGGGCTATAACTTTGTTACTTTAATTTTACCAGAAAAATGGTAAAGGAAAAAAACATTTCTTTTGATCAGATCTACTCACTGTTAAAATAAATGACTCAACTTCGAAGTCACCCTGTATAGTATTTATAGAGCTCAATATGTTTCATAGCCCCTAAATCCTAAATGTCATTGCAACACGAATCCCACCAAACGCATAGGACTCATGTTGGCGTTGATAGAACCTGATTTTTGACAGTCTCGCCTCTGTATAATGTGTGTACCCACATAACACCTACTTTATAAGGGAAAGTTAAATGAGTGACTTTGATGGTACGTTTTGTAGGCAACCAGATATTCTTATATACTTAGTACGGAGTATAACAACAGAGTGGCGCTGATACTAGGTTTTCCGTTCTTTTTGACAGTTCAATGCTTTGACGTTGATATACGTTGATTATAAAGTTGAATCGTGTACGGCGCCGGCGTTTTATTAGTTCTGTGTGGGTGATACCGATATTCATTGAGCCTTAACTGAATTTCAATTCACAAACTTACTTTTTGTAATTAAGGCTTATCGAAAACGGGGATTTAAAAAGTGCGTGTTGCCTGGTTGTACTGATACCATCAGTAAAAGGCATTTCCAAAATATGATGCCGCACTTTTCAACAAGTGGATCAAGCAAATCCAATTTTGGACAATAAAAATCACGAACAAATTTATAAAAGCTGTTTGGTGTGTGACTTACATTTTTCGAAAAGTGATAAAGTGCCGGGATCCAAGAGAGGTGTGAAAAGAACAGGTTTTCCTACATTCATCTTCAAGTAAGTAATAACTTTGTTTATTATATAAACCAATCAGTGAATAATCAGGATTAGATGATACGAACATTTTGGTATCCTAACAACTTTCACAGTATTTACGGTTTCCACAATTCTTTGAAAAACTAGCATTATAAACATATAATGAAATTAAATTCATTTTTAGGTATGGTTTCTGAAAATGTTCAGAGTAGTCCCACAACTCATGAAGGTAGTAGGAAAATTGCTAATCCGTTGGCTGCAAAAATGAGAGAGACCCTTAAAACAATTATATTGAAGAGTTCTTAAGAGACACCAAGTTGGTCCAAGAAAACATTATTTATGATGAAGGTAAGTTTAAAAATAGTTATTTTACTTTAGATAGTGACAGATTTATAAATATTAGAAACTTGTTCCAAATGTACATTAATAAAGTGAGAGCTATAATATGTATGTATAATTACTTCAACTATTAGTTGACATATTTAAAAAAAAAAATAACTTTCAGGTAACCAGGACGGCTCAGCAACAATGAAGTGTAACATCGAAAGTACTACTGAATATACTCACACAAGTCCTAAAAGAAAAACTTCTGTATTAGGAAAATGTTTAGTAAATATTGAACATCCCTCAGAACATCCAAGACCAGGCTCATCTAAAGACTTGAATTCAACTCCCCCAAAACATTTAAGATGTAAGTATGTTTCAGGATATATTTTGCAAGTATTTAGTTTAACTAACTACTCCTTCTAGAAGTTCAGCAACTGCTAGAGGTACCTTATTTTTTATTCAAGGTACTTTCAGTATATTCCTTTTTTGAAAAAGCTCAGACACGTTGAAATTTATTTTTGTTTTTGTTAAGAATATTTCAATTTTATTTTTAGTAACTTAATACTTAATTAAAAATTTTCCTATTTTTACTTTTATAAATTAATTAGGGTAGGGTGGGCACATTGAGACATGGGCAACGATCTTTATATTTTCAGTCGTTTACGCGATAGCCATCTATCGGTCGCATAATATAATATTCTGTATGCGCATGACCTGAATATACATTTTTTCGCGCCGCTGCGCTGGATCAGTCGCAGATCAGTCGTCTTCTAGATTTTATGGGAAGTGCACGATTTTTTTTCATGTATTGTTTTGATAAGTTTTTTTTGAGTGATCTATAAATCCTAAAGGTAAGACAGTTATATGCATTTTTAAATTGACCTTTTAGCTAGTTTTTAAATGTAACTCTCAAAAGACAACTTTAGTTTTACTGTATAAGAATAATATTTTTTCCTAAATATACAAATGGGCCACAATAAGACAATTTTTTTGGGCCAGAGAGACAGTGTCTCATGGTGGCCCAGAATGTAGTAGTGTATAACCTAGTGTGTACTACTGCTAGCATATTGTTTTACCTTTGCAGATGTCAAGAGGACGAACAAGAAAGAGCCAAAAAGGAACCTTTAAAGAAGAAAATATGAAAAGAGCGGTTCAGCAAGTTTTAGTAGGAATAAATGGAGAAAGCTGCAAAAGAAAACAATTTATCGTTTCAAACGTTGCAAAGGTATGTTAAAAAAGAACAAAATAAAGCCAATCCCAATCACGTTGTTTCCATGAAAAGCAATAATAAGCATCGCCTGGTTTTTAATGAAGAGGAAGGGAAGGATTTAGTCAATTACATTATTAAATGTTATGGGAAAACTACAAAAGATAACCGTGTTTTGGCATATGAGATGGCCCAAATTAATAAAAAAAACATTCCGTTATCTTGGAATAAGAATAAATTTGCTGGTATCGACTAGTTACAGGGTTTTTTAAAAAGACATGCAAAAGAATTAAGCATACGTCAACCAGAAGCTCTTTCAAGAGCAACTGCGTTTAACAAACATAATACAAATTTATTTTTTTACAAACTTGAAAAAGCGTATAGTCGGTCTGAGAAGTTTTCTGATGGTACACGAATTTATATCCTAGACGAATCTGGAACAACAACTGTTCAAAAACCAAAAAAAGTTCTGTCGTCGAAAGGTATCAACCAAGTAAGTCAATGTACTAGTGGAGAACGCGGAGTTTTGATTACAACATGTTGCATAATAAGTGCTACTGGTAATATACTGCCCCCAATAATGGTGTTCCCCAGAAAAAGGTTTAAAAATAGTATGTTAAACGGGGCACCGGCAGGAGCATAAGGACTGGCTTCTACTTCAGGTTGGATGAACTCCGAATTATTTCCGTCTGTTATGGAACGTTTTATTAGATATGGTGGGTCGTCCAAAGAAAATCCCACTATTTTAATCATGGACAATCATGAGAGCCACCTTGGGAGTAAAACTCTGAATTTGGCTAAGGACAATGGAGTCATTCCAGTCACACATCCACCACATTGTAGTCATAGACTGCAGCCACTGGACATATCAGTATTTGCGCCATTTAAGGCGAATTATAATACTGCAGTTGTCTCTTGGCTTTTGCATGATCCGGGTAATCCGTTATCCATTTACGAAATTGCTGCTTGTGTTGGAATAGCATTCGAACGATCTATGACTCCGTCCAATATAAAATCAGGCTTCAAGAAGGCCGGAATTTAACCTTTCGACAGAAATGTCTTTACGGACGACGATTTCCTGTTACCGATAGGGAATTTTTAAATATTAACAATAAAAAAGTTTCCACCGTGGATGAAAATACTTCATCTACATCATCTAAAGTAGCTCAGACAGTTACCAACGATACCTACACTTAATGATCAGTCACTAAAATTGAAATTGTTTATAAGCCCAGAAATATTTGAGGGATACCCAAAATCAGGAATGAGAAAGGTTTCTAATAGTCAGTGTAGAAAAATTACCAGCTGCATTCCCACTGATACGCCTGAAAAAAAATACCAGGAAAACATTGAAAAAGACAAATTAAAAAGAAAACACAAGGATGACAAACAAAAAGCTGCCACCCGGAATTTATTTGCAAAAAAAATAAGGTTGATTTCAATGATATATCTTCGTCTGAGGAAGATGGAAGTTTATCTTTTGCCGACCAGGATTCAACAGACTGGATTCCCGAGGCTGATCCTTCAGCATTTGAAGAACTGGATCGAAATCCCAAACCTAACGACTTTGTATTAGTGTCATTTAGTGCCAAAAATGATAATATATTATATGTTGGAAAAGTGATAAATCTGGAAAGTTCCAGCAATGAAGTAGAAGTTTTTGCGGAAGTCGGTAAAATTCAGCGGACACTTCGAATATCCTTTGGAACCTGATGTAGGAATGGTTCCTTTAAATGACGTTAAAATGATTTTACCACCACCATCTCATTTGGGTAAAACAAAACGTTTACAGGAATATCTAAAATTCGAAATTCAGTTTAGCAATATAAATTTACGCAAATTTTTTTTTACCAAGAAAAATAAATGGATGTTTGATTTTTGGCATATTTTACATTGACAAATCTTATATTTTTGTTTTTTTCGTTTAAGTACATATTTTTAGTTGTCAAAACCGCCATTTAATAAAGTTTTGTAGCAAACATGTTGTTTTTTTCACATATGTCTTATGTCTTATGGTAGCCCACTTTTCTGGGCCTCCATGATACATTATTAAAAAAAGAATGTTGTAAAATTCACTCGCAAAACTATTAATATAAAACTTTTTTTTATGTTTTGTTTTAAGATTAACATGATTATAAATATCATTCTTTAAAATCTAACACTTACACAAAACTATTTTTTTTTTAATTTTAAAAAACTTTTTCCGTCTCATGGTGGCCCACCCTCCCCTACTCATTTGTTCTCAAGAAGATTGTTATTTTATACTTTGCATAGGTACTACCACCTGCAGAAAACACATGGACATCGCATATCTCCTGAACTAAGGATGACCTTATCTTATAAAGAGATAACAAGGCGCTGTCACACTGATAAGAAATCCCTGGCAATGCATGCCTGATAACAATAGGATGCTGCTCAAGTACTACTGCTCGGTAATACCGACTACTTTTAGTTTCCTAACAACTTGCATAACTGTTATTTTTATGTATTGTATTAAAAAATACACATTTTAAAAATATAATCATGTTGAGCGTTATTTTACCTAAAATACCTTATACAGGGTGACTTTGAAGTTGAGTCATTAATTTTCAGATAATGATTGTAGAAGGAAGATAAACCAAAATATGTGTGTAAAAATAAAAAAAAAATAAAAAAAAATTTTACCTTGTTTTATAAAGTATCCTCCCGACAAGTATTTCAGTGCGGACCTGTATTTGATCGTGAGGTCCCCTGTGAGGTCTTAAGTCACCTGATTGACGAGCCCGTTGTACTACATTAACAAAGGCACGAGGGGTTGGTTGCACTCGATTGGGAAACCGATCCGCATAAACATGTGCCATTTTTTATTTCGTTTGAGCCACGCAACAGACACTATTCACACGCGACTGAAACTGACTGTATGTATAACTGAACTGAATTGTAATCGTAAAAACATCGTTCCAAATTCTTTCGCTTTTTTGTTTCCGATGCGATGAACCGTTGTTGCCAAACACGAACACATGATATTATTGAGACAGGGCGGTACTCAAACTTCCAAAGGGCTATAACTTTGTTACTTTAATTTTACCAGAAAAATGGTAAAGGAAAAAAACATTTCTTTTGATCAGATATACACACTGTTAAAATAAATGACTCAACTTCGAAGTCACCCTGTATATAATTTGAATATCTGATTCAAATTTAGCGCCACAGTGTAAAAGGGAAGTCCAAAGATGGCGCTAGGTATTCGATATTTTTGAAGGGTTCTATAACAGTTCGTATAGGTTCTATAAAAAGTTCGCAGAATGTCCCTGAGATGGCGCTACAAACTTAGTGATAAACCTTAGCATTATAGATTCCCTTATAAAGTAGGTGTTATGTGGGTGTACGTGTACCACAGTGCACTACTGGCAACTGATACTCAAATTTTCGCGAAGAACGGGAATACGGGAAGACGGATGACACGTCATCTGAATGTCAAAAAATCACGTAGTGCGGTTAACCGTAGATACTAGCGGATGACAGGTCTTATGTCAATGTCATTTAAAAAACAATGGAAAATTTACATTCCAAATGCCGAAAATTGAGTTAAATTATTAAATCATAAATGGAGGAACAGGTCCACCTGATTTTAAATGACGAGGGAGAAGGTCGTCGAAGATATAAGAACCGCACTTGTCATACCAAATGGTTGATTTTATTGATATGTACATTGCACAAAAAACGACCGGTCTTTTTGTTTCATAGAAGGCATATAGTATATCAAGAAGCTTAAAGCAAACATTTTGCGGAACATGCGGCATCTAACCACTCGCAGTGTAACTTGAAACTGTCAAAACTTCGAGAGGAAGGGGAAAAAGCTGTTCCCGCTTCAATCCCTACGAGGACTCGCAAAAAAATCTCTATAGATAGTAAGGAATAAGTTATCTGGGTACAGTTTCCTTTGTGAAATAATAATCTAGTTTATCACCTATACAAAAATTAGTGGACACTCATTCACAAACCTTATTCGCTGAGTTACCTGCGCAAACAGCAAGTATCACGTTACACACTTACAACCATCAATCGAGAGATGGCAGCATAGTGTTAACTAACAAACGCTTTCTCTAGATCATACGGGTCATATACGCAGATGTCATATTTCCATATTTATCTGTACATTGCAAAAAAGTTTGCGATTGCACATATTGTATGATTGAAACATATACATACTCGTTATCTGTCAAAGATATGCACGAACACAAAATTAACTTCTAAAAAAATGTGTCTTATGGTTAAAAAAGGCCACACAGAAACCTTGATTGGATGGCTTTCAACATTTTTTTTAAATCAGTATGTTATAGATCTCAACAAGTGTCTATAGACCCTATGCTTTTCCCACGGGATATTTCTGAGATACAGGGCCTCCAAGTGGGCATTCCGCGCCCTGAGTAGGTACCTACTTATGTATTTGTGGGTTTGGTAGGTACAGGAATTCTAAAAGTATCACTAGGGTGTGAGCTACATGACGTATACTGCACATACCACTACTTCACGACAATCACAGCAAACAAGCAAATAATGTTTTTGGTCACTACTGGTTCCAACCTAAAACCATCAAACACATGACATCTCGTGTGGGAGCGCAGCGAACCATGCTTCCAACGTTGTAACGTCCTTCGACGCAAGTCACATTTACCGACAAGAGTCCGGAGTCCGAACGTGCCTTGTGGTGAACTTTGGACACATCTAATCAGTCAGCCCTCTCCCACCCGATGTGACGAATGGCCATGTGTCCAACGTTGTAAGTTATTCGCCACATCGAAAATTTAGATGAGCGACGTGGCAACATCGACAGCTGTTATGTCAGCCTGTCAGCCAAATTGTTGGTGGATAATATTGTCGTTTGCGTTTGCGGAGTGCCGTATTCGTCGGAACTGTTGTGGTGGGAATCAAGAATTTAAACATTTTATCATTTCATATCAAACCAGATAGAACCTTCAAGGTCACACATTGACTTTGTTATTGTCTATAGTGCGCGCTGAACGAAAACACAACTAAACGTATTTTATTAGTGCACCAAAAAATAGAAGAAAGATGCGGTTAACGCCGAGGTATTTTCAAAATATGTCCAAAATGCTGGACTTCTATTCCCAGTTCAATCCATCGCCGTTATCGATAAAGAAGTTTATCGATTTTGGTAAGTTTGTGTTACAATTTAACTGGCTTTAAACCTTGCCTCTGTTTTTCAAGTCAGCATTTGGATTTGTCCTAGGTCAGACACCCTGGTTAAAAATCGATTTTCCAAATTGCACTGCTTGTGCTTGTATTTATTTCGTCGAAAAAAGCAAATCCAACATGATTAATGGACTTGATTCCATGTCTTTTTACCCTTTCATTACTTACTTTGTTTAAAATACACTCATACAGCTGTACCAACTACCAGGTATGGAGTGCTATAATAGTCCTGGAAGATCCATTATAAAGATCACCTGTATTTCAAAAATGCATCCTATAGAATTTAGATTATTAAGAAGGAGAAGAAATCAGCTTAATTCAATAAATCATCAGCAGATGTCATAGAATGTGCCTAATGGTAGTACTTATTTGAAAATTGATGTGAAGTCGTTTATTAGTTCTACATTGGTTGTTGGCTTATTGTTCATATGCACAGTTTCTGATGGTTGGCAAGTAATTGACACTTCAAATAATGATTAGATAATATAAACAAAACAACAACCCTGTAGGTGACCTGGGGCCTGATTTTGAGCAGAGAAATTGAGAAATTAATTTCGATGGTGTTCTGTGATGATATACTTGATTGGCTATCTTAATTTTGGCAAGTGATTATATTGATCTTCTATATTCAAATTATCATGGCAGTGTCAAAATTATCATGGCGAGTTAAGTGTATTGTCACAAGATGCTATTGAAACTCATTTAGAATCAGGCCCTTGGATGACTCATTACCAGTTCATCATCGGAAAATGGCACAGGATCAGTATTTATTGAGATCCATCAGTAGTAATCATGCAATGTGATTTTTATTGACTGCACAGCCAGGTTGTCAGTAATTTTATTGATGTAACTGTTGGTAGGGACCACAGTAAATACTAATTGTATGTAACTTGCCTTACATAATTATTCACCTTTCTGATATATATACCATGTACATCAATAATGAGAGATCCCTAATAAATACCTTACTGATTTTAATATATTCTAGCCATATTTTTACTAATACATATTTCTATATATGATTACATTAAAATATATACCAAAATTAAATATTTATTATACCAAAAAATCTGGGTTTTTTTCAACTTGGCTGGGTTATGTTTTTACCATCTTTTTTCAATAATTTATCATTTATACATTACAGTGCCCTTTGCAATATTATTTTTTTTAAACTTATTTCACTCAATTCACTTATGCAGTAAAACTCTGATTCTTGTATCTCTTAAATGTTGACATGTGTTATATTTATCATATCTGTGAGTCATCAATAATCAAAATACATTATTGTGAAATACCTAAAGAAAATAAAAATTGCATTCTTTTGAAGTAGATCACTTATTAAGTATATGACATCCTCAGATAACTGGGAGTATAGTAAGTTGTAGTCACTGTTCTTGGTGGTTACAACATCAACACCATAAATATGAAATAAGTAAACAGATCAAGACTCTCTACCAGGATAACTTAAATTGCATGCCTATGTCAATTAAGTTGTCACTCTGACAAATATGATTGAAGGGCACTGAGACATAACGTCAATGTTTTCGAGAAGGCGACACACAACTAAAAAAGGTATGTCTTTGAGCTTACTGAACAAACGTTCACACACAGGGGTAGGTTGCCTGTGTATATATGAGGGAGAGATATAATGGGATACTGGTTGTCTTACTTTGACCCTCCAAAAACGGTGACTACAACTATAATCACCTAGCTTCCAAACAATGAAATGCTAATTATGCTTTCACCTGGCGACATCTCAGACAGGCTGTCACCTGATGTTTACTCCATCTCCTCTGTTATCACTGTGACCTTCAGAGCTCTGATTCAATAGTGACTGAATATTGGACTGTACAGATATGTATTAAGGAAGAGATGGGGAGACTACATCACAGGAGTACATTTTCTCTTAGATTTTTGTAGTTCGCCTTAAACATGTTATGTATGTACACTATAGAACTCCAAAACATCAAATACAATCAGTAATAACAACCTGCAGATAGCAATAACCATCCATTTTGACTAGAAATATTTTTTTATACTTGAACCAAAGGCCTAAATACCCATCTGGTTAAAAAGAAAGTTCTTTGAGTCCCCAAAGAAGCCTTCTTGGATAGAGCATCTTGAAATGTTTACTCATACCAGTCAATAGTCTAGGTTGACCAAATGTTTGAATTTTCCAAGTGGGAGAATCCTATTTCCATATGGGTGGTTGTACTTAAATACGTCTATTTATTTAACTGGTGTGCTGTATATTGTGGTGTACCAATTTATGACGTAATTTACATACGAACTTTGCAAAAAAATACACTGCAGATTTTTAAGTTTTGAAATCCACGCTTTCAAATGCAACGGATACACAATAGCCATAATAGGATACTCGAGAGAACGCTTGTTTAAAATCCACGTCCCATAACGAAACACAAATATTACGATGTAAGTTATTTCACCAAGATTAAACTTCGGATGCCAAATTCACAGATTAGTTCAGCAAGGTTAAATATTTTCGGAGCCTGACTTGGACGCGAGACTAGCATGTCTGGTATCCCAGGAATTGGACAGTGAAGCAGTGTCCAATCAAACTTCCCGTTTCGGCCAATTTCTGTCTAAAACCCAAGATGCGGTTTCGGCAGAAAATCCGCCGAAATTACAACCAAAAGTACATTTGTAAGTTTTCGGGCGCTTTGGAACTCCTAAATACACGTTTTCTTGTTTGTATTTTTTTGTGAGCAAATATTATTTTTTGTATTTATTGATACGCTCGAAGTGCAACACACTAAATTTCTGTTAAATTTATTTCATTCTCAATTTTAACTTTTTTACAGTTGTTTGGACTGACGTTAGCTAGACGCTTCAGCTTTAAGTGCATATTCGGTTTCTTGTTGGTAGTTACTTTTTATCTTATTAAATTCAAGGTTTCATCAACCTAACTTTGATACATTGTGGTGTAACTTCGGCAGCTAATCGGAGTTTTCAAGAACAACATATCTTTGCTATATTTATGTTTCACTCGTCACCAGTAGTTTTAAAGTTCAGTTTTTATCATTAATTTACGTTTTTCCTTTCATAATGTTTTTATCTTCTGTCCGAATTCAAAATTTCTTTTACGAAGTGGTAGAGAAATCTGTCGCCTTGTATTGTTACATTAGTTTCGTCTGTTGCCATAATTTTTGAACACGCTATGTAATATCCAAAGGTTAGAATCTTACAATTAGAAGAAAGTTATAATTTTGTTTCCTGAGAGAGAATGGCATTTCTGCTTTTTAAGTTTTTCTTGATTATATTTGTCAATGAGTCTGATTATTAAGAATAAAGAAAGATTTTTATAGTTTGAGGATAATAACTACTACCTAAATTTCCACATCAAGTTAGTTGTATTTTTGCTCTAAAAGTGTATCGTTTGATAATCCTTCCAATACAAATTATTGGGAATGTGTGCGTGCCAACGTGTGTATTTACATGTAGCTCTATAATCAAAATAGAGGATCTTGTTGACCCAATAATTTATTTATTTCCATGAGATCGTCGTCATATCCCACCACCCACGTGTTTTCTTGTTTACACTGCCTCAATTCAGTTTGCATGTTGCATCCTATCTGTCAATAGAGGATCTCTCACCGGTTTTATTCAGTACGGAATGTCCAGGTCATGGTGTACGAGGGAAGTTGAATTCATATGCCAAGTCAGTGTGGTCCATAGGAACATAGATTCCCTTTCGTAGTTAGTTTGTATGCCTGATTTGGTCACTGTGGGAATGAAAAAGGGACATGAGAATGAATTCACTATTGTTTAAACCAGTGTTGCAAAAATTTATTTTCATTATTTCTCTCTATTCGCCCAAAAATATTTGTTATCTAGACTTATAGTAAGAAAATCTCTTCGGCGACATACAAAAAAACTTGCGTTGACATGTCTTGCATGGCTTTCGTTTCGGAACAAGAAAATTCGTTCGTCTTTGTAATGATCTGGTGAAGACTATTTACCGATTCTGAAGCCTATTTCTGTTGCCATTGATAGGCTTCAAATAACTAACGAAATCCCCTTTCTGTTGTACAAGAATTCAAAGATCTAGAAACAGTGCATCACTCCATATCATCTGTTAGAATACCTTTATTATCCTATAAAACCACAACACCTATTAGTAGACGACGAAAAGAGTGCTTTCGAAGCCGCAAAAGAACTACTTCTATGTGACTACTAGTCACTAAAAATTCAATTCCAGGCAAAATCAGATCCTTTTATTGACGTAATGTTTAATGAAGACATTCTTATAACTTCAAAAACTTTAAATTGGTGGAAATTCAAACAGAATATCGATGCTATTCAAAAAGTACTGGCCTCTATAAAAAAATGTTATCTACTGCAACAGCTTCTTCAGCATTTATCGAAAGAGTGGTTTCGACAATTGGTTTGGTAGATTCCAAACTTGTTCATCGCCTGCGAACCGAAAAAGCAGCTAAATTAGTTTTCCTATAATTGACTTCCTAAACACATATTTTGTGTTTGTGTTCTTGTTCACTGTGCCATTTATATCGTTAATAATTTTTATTCATTGTTCATTCATGTAGGTAATATAAACTGTTTTTGTTGTTGTAAACTGGGTTTTCTTAAGTTACTTAATGAATATTTACGTTGGACTAATGATGATTAGTTATGTCTTTAGACTTACGTTATGAATGTAATCTCATAGTTTTAAATAAACTATATTCCCTTTTTTGAATTTCCTGATGGGCTATTTCATGTATTTGCTTGGGTAACTTGATTTTCAGCAATTTATGGTTTGATTTAAATCAGCATTAAAATAGAAAAATCAGTTAATTTAAATCGTCGCAACCCTGGTTTATACCACATACATTTGTTCGTGCTAGTTCCCAATATTGAACTTTTTCCCAAAAAAAGATTCTTCTTTACATCATTCACCATCTCAAAGGGTAGATGTTACAGTGTTAACCAACAATCGCAGATGAACCTTATGATACATAAAAATGCCCATCCCTAGTCCAAGAGGATATACTTATTATGTATAGTATTACTCCTACATGTTGGGAAAGTTTGAAGATACTGCTTCTGTTCTAAACCTAACTAAGTATGCAACTAAGCCAATTGAAATAGGCATTAGAGTGTGGCCTAAAAGTGTGTAGGTCGCAAAACCGTACACTAACTATTTTCAAAGAGAATTT